TGATTCAAGGTTAGGGTTTCTCTGTGGCTGGATGTTGCGCAGGCCGTGTGGTCACAAACAGACAGACAGACAGACAGACAGACAGACAGACAGACACACACACACACACACACACACACACACACACACACACACACACACACACACACACACACACGCACACACACACACACACCAAGCTGATTCCACACAAATATTATAGTATATCGTTTGTAATGATGGTGCAACAGCGCCCCCTGGTGGTGTTTTATTTAATGATGTTTCCTCTGAGTGTTTTGGAAGCGTCCTCTTCCGTATCTGCGCACGCAGCATCTCGGCTGTCATCAGAAAAATAAATGTCTAGCACTAAACTGGAAGTAACACGATCTGTGTCAAAATAAAATCCTCCATTATTTTAAACCCCTGCAGAGCTGAAGGTGCTCAGTGGAAAGGAACCATCGTTCAGACAGAGGACAGAGTTAGAGGAGCACTGACACATCATGCATGATGACATGTAGGAATTCATACTTAATAATACTTAAATAATAAGCAGTTTAAAGTTTAGTTCCTTATAAACACATTAAAAACTGCTTTTCTCTGACTTCATTTATGATGAGTCCTCTTTATTAGATTTGTGTTTGGTGATCTTTATACATTCTTGGTGTATGTCAGCTCGAGATATAGAAGTGTTTTTAGGATGAATCACAGTCATTATAACCAGTGGCTTTACTGTGGGCTTTTATTGTGAAGGCGCCGGGCGGAAGTGCAGCTGTGTGGGCGTCACTGATCTGGCTGGAGCTTTTCCTCAAGCTGATCTGAGTTTCTGGAAGGCTTTCTTCGATTTTTTCTGTGAGTTTCTGAGGGTTTCCCTCGGCGTTTGCTCCGGTGTTTGCTCCAGTGTTTACTCGGTGTTCCCTCCGGTGTTTCCTCGGTGTTTCATCCGGTGTTTCCTCCAGCTGCCTGCCGGCCCTCTGCTCGCTGCTGGCCGGAGATGAGTGCTCAGTTCCCGGCTCACCTGGACCTGGAGGAGGAGGAGGACCTGGAGGTCTTCAGCAAGGTGAGCTGCTTCCTGCTACCTGGACCAGGACTACACCTCTCTCTCTAATACTCGAGTTGCATCTTATATATTAGTTTATAGTTTATATCAGAGTGTATTAATCCAGCTCGTGCAGAGTGCAGAGGCTGTCACGAGGAGTCAGGAAGTGTAACGATCAGCTGATCAGCACACTTTAGTCTCTGATCTCTGTCCCCTGCTGCACACCTGTACAGGTGATCCTATATTCAGTGAATACAGGTGATCTTATATTTGTGTGTGTGTGTGTGTGTGTGTGTGTGTGTGTGTGTGTGTGTGTGTGTGTGTGTGTGTGTGTGTGTGTGTGTGTGTGTGTGTGTGTGTGTGTGTTCATTTGAATGAATCTCATGTCTGTAGGGTGTTTTTATTATCAGTTGTAGAAACTGTTCCACATGTAAATATAACCATACACTTTATTAAGTTGGGGGAGGAGTTGGAGTGTACCATGATCAGTCTAACGGGGGTCTCTTCTCAGAACACCTCTCTCACAGATGGAGGTCCCAGCTCTCCCAGCTCCATGATGAACCAGTACAGAGAGGAGGAAGAGGAGGAGCTCTTCATCACCATAGACCATCCAGAGAGTCATGTGACCGCCATCGAGACCTTCATCACCTACAGGGTGATGACCAAGGTGAGGGGGGCTGTGAGGAGGGGGTCCATAGACCTTCATCACCTACAGGGTGATGACCAAGGTGAGGGGGGCTGTGAGGAGGGGGTCCATATACCTTATGAAGGTCTACGGACCACCCCTCTCACCTTGGTGAGCGGGGGGGAGTGAAGGACTGAGTGAGTGAAGGAGTGAGTAAAGGAGTGAGTGAAGGAGTAAAGGAGGTAAAGAAATGTCCTCTGTCTCTCAGACGTCCCGCAGTGACTTCGACTGCAGTGAGTTTGAAGTGAGGAGGAGATATCAGGACTTCCTCTGGCTGAGGAGCACTTTGGAGGAGAATCATCCTACACTCATAGTGCATGTAGGTCACACACACACACACACACACACACACACACACACACACACACACACACACACACACACACACACACACACACACACACACACACACACACACACGTTTGGTGTGTTAACAGGTGGGCCGTACGCCATCATATTAATGCGTTTGCCTCTGAGCGAGGCAGGGATCTGAACTCCCAACCCACGGCGGAGCTGGCTGTTTCCCGTAACGGAAGAAATGCTGAAATCTGCCAAAACAACCAAAGGCATGTGAGACTCTGGTTCCACAGGAGTGTGCAGGCTCGTGTGTGTGTGTGTGCGTGTGTGTGTGTGTGTGTGTGTGTGTGTGTGTGTGTGTGTGTGTGTGAGATAGGAAAACCAGATATGAATAAGCCACTCGAGCTGTTCACTGTCAACACGCCGTGTGTCTCCCAGGAAGGAGAACTGGCTGACACACACTGAACAGATGTACAATTTACATCCTACATTACAGCTACATGTAATCAGATTACTGTGTGTGCAGGCAGATTACAGTCATCTGTTACTACACACGCCAGGTTTACCAACAACTTCCTAGACAGAGAAAGCCATTTATACGACAGGAAAATAAGATAAAGTGTGTAATATATAAATGTATAAAGACTAAATAATAAATATTCTCCAATAATAGATGAGAAGGTTTGAAAATCAAGCCTGCCGAGTGAAGACTACTAAACATCAGAAAAATCAGCCTGTGGCGATGCACAGATGCTTTAAATTCACTGCTTCATATCTCACTGAAGGACAGATTTTCCCTTAGTTGAGTAAAGTGCTGAAAAGCTGCAGGAAGCGTCCTAATCCGACTCCTCCGGGAGGAAAACACTACATGTTCTTCAGTAAATCCTGTATGAACAACAGTTACATTCGACTGACGCTTTCCCCCTCAAAATAACCACGTATCAGGAGAAATGGGCGATGCACGAGGGGGAATCGAACCCTTCGTGTTAAGATTACCAATATTAACGAGACCAGTAAAAAACTAAGGCTGTCTGACATGAGTTCAGCGTGTGCAAACAAAGCCTCCTATTCACTATCATGTCAATACGTTTAAGGACAGGTGCTTTTTAGATGAATACATAACCAAAGTTGATCGGAAAGAAGCCCCCTTAGATCCGCCATTGATACGAAGAGAATAAGAGCAAAAAGCCCTACTTCTACAATATTTAAATGCACACTGTATAAATGATGTTCATAAATATTCAGTTAAGCTCTGAAGATATGAGCTTGCATGAAGTACAAGGAGTCATTTTTGAGTGAAGTGGCTCCATTGACAACAATTCCAGCTGACACAACAACACGCACACAGGGGAAGTGTAGCCAAGGGTGAGGAGAACTATACCCTCTGTGTGTGTGTGTGTGTGTGTGCCGTGGGGAGATCCTAAACAAGTTCTCCAACTTTGTTTTGCTTCCTGGTAGGCAAAGCATCGTGGGAAGAGTGGGCAACCTCAAGGCCACGCATCAATAGAATATGAACTGACTGGTGGTGGTGGACCACACACACACACACACACACACACACACACACACACACACACACACACACACACACACACACACACACACACACACACACACACACACACACACACACACACACACACACACACACACACACACACACACACACTACACACACACACACACACACCACACACACACACACACACACACAACTACACTACACTACAACAACGACGACTACACACTAACACTACACACGACAACACACA